ATAATAATAATAATAATAATAATAATAATAATAATAATAATAATAATAATAATAATAATAATAATAATAATAATAATAATAAAGTTGGAAGGGACCTTGGAGGTCATCGAGTACAACCCCCTGCTCAGGCAGGAAACCCTATACCATTTCGGACAAATGGCTGTCCAGTCTCTTCTTAAAAACCTCCAGTGTTGGAGCATTCACCGCTTCTGGAGGCAGGTTGTTCCACTGGTTAATTGTTTTAACTGTCAGGAAGTTTCTCCTTAGTTCTAGGTTGCTTCTCTCCTTGATCAGTTTCCATCCGTTGCTTCTTGTCCTGCTCTTTATCGCAGTCATTACTTGTGAATCCAAGGACAGCTAAGGATCAGAAAGAATACCAGGAGGAGGCCCACAGGTTTTCATTTAGGCAATGTTCAATGTTCAACAGTATGCCTCCTTCTTTGGATATCAAGAGCAAGAGCAAGAATACAGAAAGACAGAAAATAGCTGTCTAAACCTTTATCGCTTACCCTGGGAAAACAAGCACCTTCTTTTCTGATGGAAGAAGTCTGTTTGGTGTACTCTCTACCCGGTTTAGTAGAACTGTTCTGACTTTGGAAGCTGGAAACTGCACGTGTATTTGGTGCGGCAGTAAGAGAATAAGGAGAATTGGTGTACTCTTCAAGAGAAGCACGTCCTGTAAGATTTTGAGATGCACGCTGAGAAAGACAGGTGGAGGTGTCCCATGATACTTCTTCAATATATAGCTGTTGTCTTAAACAGAATAAGCATATTGATTTTTAGCGGAACAGGTTACTCAAATGCATCGATATTTTACAGTAGGAAAATAATCCCACTGTAGAAGTATGTTTTTATTTTATATCATAATATGGGTGGTATTCAAATGTAACAAATTATAAAACAATTGTAATGTAAAGACATGGCTTTTTAAAGCTATAACAAAACACTTGGTTTATTTTGCTAAGATTTTTTTGAGAAGGAATAAACATAAAATGACATAAAATATGGAATGAAAGCTGATTCATGAAATTCAAAAATACATGTGTTAGGTTACAGATGTAGAATTTCTTCCATATATTGCATGCAGTAATATACCAAGAAAGAAAAGAGGATAATTGGAAAATATTTCAGTTCTAAATGCTAGCACTAGATGTTTAGATTTCTGATCAATATATAACAGAATATGAACATCACAAGTTGTAAAAGTATCAACATTTATCTATATGTTTTTTGGAAATGAATTATTTTATATAAATAGGATATAAGCTATATTTTTGTTCCAACAGCAAAACAATCTAAATACAAAGGAACTGATATCTCAGAGTTTTTTCTTTATCCTTAATTATCTTCTCTTTCCATTTAAATTCGGTTCTTATTCTTATTATTCCATAGATAATAAAGTAAGACATTTAGGGATGAGAAAAAGGCCTTTGAAGTTGACACATCAACTCTGAAGTGTCTCATAAGAAATAAATTAAATACCGTAGCCTAAAATACTAAATAACCAATTATTGTTGAAATGGGGAGCCATATAAATTGCTTAAATAAATAACCAATAAATATAATTCACCAAACTACTTAGAAATTAAATTCAAGAACTTGGGAAATTAATAGTTTCCTCAAAAATGAGACATATAGGGTACATACTTATTCACTGATGGCTCCTCAACATATGGGTAGCATGTAGTATAATAGCCAGGAAAGACACATGCTTCTGCGGGTTCTGACCATGCCACTGTTACTGCTGCAAACTTGGGGACAAATGGTTTGACCTCTGCTGATAACTTGATGCCCTGATATACAAAATAATTTTGATTACATATACGTTCAGATTATCCACAGAAAGTTAAAAACATTATGTATGTACATGGGAGAAAATATGATTCCTCCGCTCTTGAAACAAGCATGAAGAAATTAAAATGCCAACTGTATATTTAAAACTGCATCAGTAATTTAATGGCTTAAATACTTGCTTTAAAATATACACATACACACATTTATATAAGCATGGAACAACTATTTATGCTGCATGAAGTACAAAAGATGGTTTTCTATCCATTTCAATGATCTCTTGATAATCCCTTCCAACTTTACTATTATTATTATTATTATTATTATTATTATTATTATTATTATTATTATTATTATTATTATTATTATTATTATTACAAGCAGCAGGAAAGATATTATAGGCAATAGAGATATAGAGCTTTTCTACCTTTGCTATTAAATTAAATTAAAAGACTTTCTATAGGCTTTAAGTCCACACTTTCTCCCTTTGTTCAATCTCTTCTTTTGCAGGAAT